GGGGGGGGGGGGGACCAGGGAAGGCAAAATGTAAGCAGAATAAACTTCAGCTTTATAAAGTGGGAACATGTTTTTGCTTTTTTGTGGATAGAGTAGTGAAGAGGAACCTGACCGTGTCAGTGCTGAGATTTCCTCTCTCTGTCACATTCCCAGACGAGGAGATCCTTCAGGCAATGTAAATGAATCTGACTAGCAGAAATGGAAGTCCCTGTCTGCCGGATTGGTGACTCTTCTATGTCAGGGTGTGTTTTTCTTATTTTATTTCTTTTCTCTGGCCACAGAGTCACTTTAAACATCTGAGTGCAGAGGGTTGGTTGCTGTATGAAGTACACTGTAAGATTTTGCACTGGCGCCCTTGGCTCTTTCTTCCTCTGCTAGTCAGATTCATTCACCAAGGACAGCAGAGACGGTGCCGAGTGAAAGGTTTACATTCATCTGAAGTGTCTGTGGGTGCAGAACAATGTCAGTGCAGAGAAGATAGACACATATAGAGGCTGCAGTGTCCCCCGCAGTCACTGGCAGAGTCACAGTGTGTATCCAGCTGTCACACAGGAGGAGAGGGCAGGGATGACAAGGCAGCAGGGAACAGCCAGGTAGGACTGCCGGGGCAGCAGGGAACAGCCAGGGAGACCTGCCGGGGCAGCAGGGAACAGCCAGGTAGGACTGCCGGGGCAGCAGGGAACAGCCAGGGAGACCTGCCGGGGCAGCAGGGAACAGCCAGGTAGGCCTGCGGGGGCAGCAGGGAACAGCCAGGTAGGCCTGCCGGGGCAGCAGGGAACAGCCAGGTAGACCTGCCGGGGCAGCAGGGAACAGCCAGGTAGACCTGCCGGGGCAGCAGGGAACAGACAGGTAGACCTGCCAGGGCAGCAGGGAACATCCAGGTGGACCTGCCAGGACATTGGTGGTCAGCGTATACACATTCTAAATGGAGCAGAACGTGGACGACGGGTGATTATCGTGATTGCAGTTTGAAAACATGCGTCAAGAACAGACAGAGCACCCGAGTGGAAAGGGCAGAGACCGCAAACTGCTCACCTTCCCGCTTCCTTCTCACATCTCCATAGGAACACATAAAGGTCTTTATTTTTTATGGAAAGAACTGCAGACCTTCTCAAGCTGGCCACACGCGATTTAAAGCTGAATGAAAAAGCACAACAACTTTCATTTAAATATATTTCTCAAAAGCCACAAAATATATAAATCCACTTTGTGTGCACCGAATGCATCACTGGGCTGTATATAGTCTGTGCAGGGAGCAGAGCCATGGGAGGGGCCCAGCAAGCCCCACCCACTACAGGCTGCCTGCAGAAAACTACAGGAGGGGCGGAGACAAGACCAGTCACCCTGCAGAAAGAGAGAGCAGCAGTGAGCGCTCTTTATTACAGGAAGCTCCAAGTCTCACACTGGATTACTGCACAGATCTGGAGGAAATACACAAAGCCCAACAAGATTCCAGGAAGAATACACAGGACTCTTGTATGTAGATAATATTCGCTTATCCCGGAGTTCAGCTTTAAGTCACTTTGAGTCAAAACACATTCTGTGTAATGGATTGCCATCATAATCCTAAGTACTGCTGCTGTTTGTATGTGAGATCCAGGAACATACAGTGGGTGTGTTCAGGAACACCTCTCCTGCATCACAAGCAGGGGTTCCCAGGTCTCCCGGAAGCTCTGCAGCAATGGCAGCCCTGAGCAGAGGAGTTCCCTGGAGGCACTTCGAGTCCTAACTTCCAATGTGACAATTGTGTGTGTGTGGCACTCTGATAGTACCACGCCATGTATCTGATCTCCCCGGGCAGACACTCGCCCCCCCTCCCCCCCTCCATTAATCGCTATTATGTGCTATGGGGGAAGGAAAGTAGCCACACAAAGCTCCTATTTTTTCCACATGCGTGATGACTGTTAGAGAACGGGGACACCATAAACAGGGACCATTCTGTTCTCAGAGTTCACCCCATGGTCACATTATATGGTCAGTAGAGATGAAAACTGTGTTAC